AAAAAAGAAAACATGAAGTGACGTGTTCAACTCGATAGCCTTGTTTTGATGTTTATCATTACCAGTCCTCTCACTATATTTTACACATATGAATATCTGGTGATGGTCAATCATAAAGTTCCTTCATGCATCAGTGAATCAGTTAATATAAAGTCATWAACATATACCTACCTTGCGATGAGTCGCTCATGTTCGGACAGAAACAGGAATGCCTTATAATCAAGAGAATTGGCACCTATAAATATAACAATAAAGTGGTCAGTACATAGTACGGAATGACATGCGCTAGCAACACTGAAACAATCTCGTATCGAGAGCCTGCGTCTCTTCTGGCCTGCGTTGAAGGCGAGTGCTCTGGCATAATCCATTTTTTTGGCGCATGCGCAATTTTCCGGAAGTAAAATATTATCAATGAAAATCATGCATTCAAACAGATTTTTGTCTTTTTTTTTTTTTATTTCTATCAAAATAAAATCAGAAATCGGGAAGTTTTTTTAAAAATATATTTTCGGCGGCAAGTTTTTGAACGCATGCGCTCTTATACTGGAAGTCCAAGAAATCCTGGTCTCAAAAAAATGGATCATGCCAGCAGGCCAGAAGAAACGCAGGCTCTGAGTAGGAGATTGACACAGAAATGGCTAACTATTTCTCGTGCATTTTAACCAATCAAAACGCATAGTAATAGACCGATTGCCAAAATGTGAATTAAATCTTTGAGAGGTTGACACTGATCGAACATTACTCGCTCCTTAGTTCACAGACTGACAGGCACGGATCAAATGTCTGGCAGTGTTTTCATTTTCAACGATTTCTTAACTAAAACGAAAAAGTTACAAAATAAACTTGAAAAAGAAAAAAGAAAAACTCGAAATAAAAAAAATTGGAAAAAAAGAACACCTTGAGTGAGTGTTTAGGTCACCCATCCACGTACGARCTTCGATCAACCGGACTTGACTCAGCGTCATTGAAGCCCAGTTTTTTTCCACTGGCCTACGGTTCCAGGTGAATCAGCATAACAATAGCCGTACGAACAATGCACCAGATAGACTAGACTTTTTAACAGTGTTTTTTCAACCGATTCCGTGCGTGGCAGAGATGCAAGGGATTAGCCGATATGGTATGGGGGCCGGCTGGTCTCTCCCCTGATGCTTCGGCTAGAACATTTTCTTGCGTAATTCGTACACCCAAGGGCAGAAGGATTTAATTGCCATCAGGTCCGAAGTCCATACGCCGCCCCAGCTTTGCGGATGTCTCGGGGGTATGGCACAGTGGAATCGATTACTTTTTTAAATTTCTGTCGGTAGGTTCGAATCACATTGTATCCAGATAATATTTTTCTTTAAAAAAAATAATATTATCATTAATATGGCCATAGCTTTTTATAAAGAGTAACTACCTCATTCCTTTTTGCTCATATTCAGATTAGAATTAACAGTAAACTAAGCAATCTCAATCTCGATCGAAAAGAAAACAAGTGTATTTTCTTGATTAGAACTGACTCCTGGAAAGAGTTTACTGACGGACGGGAGCTTTAATTTTTGTTAATATGGTACTGCGACTACCGCATGTCTAGCCCTGCCATGCCTACTAAAATTTTGTGCAAGTTTTTTCCGTAAGTTTTAATCGATTAGAATTCGTTCTAGTTGAGAAATCGTCGAAAATTACGATTACCCCTTATTAACTGAAAAGCAGTTTTCCTTCCTTCCTTCCTTCCTTCCTTC